TTAGAAGGGTCCTTTCTAAGTTAAGTTGTTATTATTTTTTTTTTCAATGCTAGTCTTCACATTTCAATTCAGTATCATTGAATTTAAGATAGAAAAACATGAAATTCTTATCACCATAAAAAAATAATTAAAATTTTTTATAACCATCATGTATATGCGAGTTATTTTTATCTTATATGTATGTGTAAATATTTATTGATTGAACTTTACAACTCAACCATGCTAACTTATAAATCCTAGATTAATGTAGGATTCATCCTTAATTATTTGCACATTTTTATCCAACTCTCTAATGAGCTAATTAATCAAGAGAAATAACTTATTGATATTTTTGTTGATTTTATATTGAAATTCACTTATTTTCTCCACACGTATCATATCATAAGCCACATATATATAAAACATCATAATTACTTGGATTTCTTTTTTCTTTTGTAAGAATTATTAGATTTTGTTTCCGTGCCATCAAATTAAGAAATTGTTTAGTATTGTTTTCGTTTTTTGTTTTTGTTTTCAAAAATTTTAAAAAAAATATGAAAATTTATTTATTTTCAAAAAATAAAATTAATAACAAAATTTGAAAACTTTTAAATTAAAAAAAATGTTTTTTTTTAAATAAAACTAGTTTTTACACTATTGGTATATGTTTTGAAAGTTAAGTTAGTTTTTTAAGTAAAAAAATGGACATGAATAATGATGGGAGTTCAAGCTGAAACCTAGTTCCGGACGTTTAGAAAATGGATCGGGACCTAGTCCAAAGCTATTAAGATTCGAACTAGGACTTGGTCCGGGACACTCAAAATTCAAGCTAGGATTTTGTTCGGGATGCTTGGGGTTCAAATTGAGACTAGTGCTAGTGAGATCTAAGGTGCCTTGAGTTTGGGTTAGGACAAAGTCCATGGCACAAAAGGTTCGGATCGGGACCTAATCTAGACTACACAGGGGTTGATCTTGAATCAAAATTATAGTGTCCAAGGGTCGATTTGAGACTAGTAATAATGGAAGTAGCATTGCTAGTGCAAGTATCCGAGCCGCAAACTTGATAATGGTGTTGGTATGTCTACATCCTCTCCAATAGTACCCTCAACGGTTATGCCCCATCGGTAGTGCATCCTATTGTGGATGATCCCATTATAGTTTTCTCGGCTCCAAAAATCGTACTCGGATATGATGATGGATGGATCATTTGAATCATGAATAAATGGTAAGTAATATGTTTTACTTGCGATAATTAATTTTATATTTTTATATATTATATTTAAATCATCGATTGATTAATTATTTATTATTTGTTTATTTTGCTCGACAACTTAGTTCCATCAAGCAAGTGTTCCATAAAAATCATCATAACTTTTAAGAAGCAATTGGTCGTCGCCGACTCCATATGGAAGTCCGTATGGCTCCATACGGAAGTCCGTCTCCGTGAAAACAAAAAACTTTTATTTTAATGAATTTAGGATTACATATTAATTATTTGCTTATATTTCATTTAAAATATTAACTTAACATGAAAAATACTAATATCATTTTTTATTCATATTAAAGTGCTTTTTTATGGGATGTGACCATCGACGTGCCGATTAAAGATGCATGAGAGAGTCCGGTATGGAGGCGGTACAACGACATGCTTAACAAGCTGAAACATAAGAGTAACGAGACTTGCATTTATTAAATAAGAGGTGTGAGAAGTATGACATCGAGATTGAGCCACTCTTGAGTATTAGGTCAATTCGAGCGGTCATCTCAAAACTACATGTCGAAATGAGTGGTGTCAATGTTGACCCATCCAAACATACTCGAAGGGTCCATCTCTTTAATCGAACATACCGAGCATTTGATAAATTCTATATTATCTATTGTGTTATAAATTAATTTTTGCATTTATTGCATCTCATATTATTTTGTCTATTTTTTTCGAGCATAATAAATTGGGTCGTAACCCAAATCCTTATGAGTTATTCATGACCACTCACAAATGAAAAGATGAGATATTTATTGACGGACAATCGCGGACGAGTAATGGTAATATTTTATATTTTTTTAAATATATATACTTCTACTCATATAATCTAAAAAATATATTTATAATTTAATATTATAATTATTTCAATGATATAAGAACGCCTACGATCCATAAAAAGAGCAACTGCTAAGGAGCGAGCATGAGGGTGATTCATTGTCTCCGGATATCGACATGTCCAAGATATATTTGGATGTTGTTGTAGGGGAGAAGAAGCGAGAGAGTATATGGTATCGAAACTTATGCATCTCGAGTATTACTCACATTCTAGTATCAACTCCTTCTCTCGCCACTTTGTGATATCCTAGTAGTAATATCCAAGAGGTTTGTGCCCAATACAAAAATAGGATCAAAAGGATGAAGGTTACCATCTAGCAACGAGATAGGGTTGTTAAAGAACCCGCATGACCTTACGTCCCTCATGCCGACACTCTCACAACCCGGGAATCGGCTTGTTTCTCTCAACATTCGAAGTCGAAAGATGATGCATGAGATGATGATAATAAAAACTAAATTTCTTATTTTTTTTAAAAAAAGCTTTTAATGTTTTTGTATGTCTTAATGCATTTATATATTTATTTTACTTCAATTTATATAATTTTAATTTTATTAAATAATATATAGTGTTTTAATAAGGTGTTGTTTATAGTTGTTTGTTATTACAATTAACAATGTATGACTATTGAATTTTTTTTTAAAAAAAAAATCTTTCATTTAGCGATGAAATTGTTAGGATTTTAACAACTATTATTTAGCAACACTCATTACGTCGCTAAATAGTGACGGATATAAGTAGAAATAATGATGGTATGATGACAAAAATAAGACATTTTAGATGATTGTTTTAGATCGATTTAGCGATAGAAAAAAATTGTAGTTACTAAGGAAACAATGACTACCATATTACTAACGGAATTCATATTGTCTCTAATATATCATTAATAGTATATAATGATGGATTTTCAATATATAACGATGGAAAAATCCATTGCCAAATTCAGAAATTCTGATAGTGACATGCCATCTGTTTTAAATTCCAATCCAAAATGATAAAGTTAACACGTAAATTAGTCTTTTGCATGTTGACGTCACATGTGTTTTAGCACCCTTAAGTCTTGGCTGCTTGTTTGAAAACCTAAAATATAATTTTAATTCCAGTATATTTGTATTTTTTTTCTCCGAGCCCGATGCTTACATTAACATAAAAGTTAATTAAGGTGATATCCAATTACACCAGCACCACATGATTCGTAAAGCTTTTGATACATTTCGATAGACCACTTGTCCTTTCATCAGATGCTAAGTTTTTGTCGTTGTAAAAGGAACCAATGGACTAAATGTCGGTAGTATTTGTATTTCTAGGGTTCTTTACCCTTCTAAATAATGCATTGTACTACAGTTCATTATATATATATATATATATATAATGCATTACTAACCTCTGATTGCTTCCTACTTTCAACTCAAGGATTATATCACCTAGAAATGTCCCCCCACACACTTTTTCTTTACTAAGCTTCAAAAGCAAACACAAATAGATATAATTTTTTTCCCCATTAGGTATCACAAATGCCATAGGTCTCTCGGCTAACTAAAAAAATGCTCCAAAAGAATAAGGTATTTTTCAAGCTTCCCATCACGTAGAGTTAAAATATGGGTTGAAAAAAAAAACCCACATTATTGGGAGTAGAACCCACAATTAAACTAAAATATACCTGCCTCAACTTAGAAGTCAACTTTGTTAATCTTTAACCATTAACACCAATAATTTATTTTTTGATGAATGATCTCAAAGAAATTTCAGTCCACAGTTTCTACGGTCATGATTGTTTGATAATAGGCATGACATGCATGGCGTGTGTTATGGGTCCCTGCTCCAATTTCTTTATGCTTGAATCAACGTATTAGAAACCATAATTCCACTCTATAAAACTGGGATTAATTATACAACTTGCTAATGTTAGCTTGTTAGGGCGACCAACCGTTTGCATCTTTTGATGGATTTGTCTAAACTGTCAAATGAATTATAACTGATTTCAATTGCCATGGATCCAAGCTCTCCTCTCCTTTTAAAAACGTTTATCTTAGTTGGTCAAAGGTCAACTCCCATCTTTTTTCAACTTTTCATTTGGCCAGGGAGGGACCAAACATCCATTTTTTTCTTCTTTAAGTAATGTATACTGACTTAGACAACATGCTAGCTAAGATGAGCCTAAGGAGGGTCCAAATTTCACCGGTTGAGAGCGTGGATGGATTCCAACCTTTTTGTGATGATGTTGAATTTTTTTTTTTTTTTTTTCCCTTTTATCTTTCTAATAACTCCACAATCCAGACATATTTTGCCACCCACAAATCTGAAGCAATGTAACTAATATGGTTGTACAAACACTGGGAAAAGATGAAAAAACTTTTGGTAATGGCTCAGGAATTTACTTGTTCGAATTGTTTGATGTTATCCCAAGTTTCTGGCATCAAATTCCTACAGCTTTCTCCAATCGTATAGCTAAAATTTAATAAACTTTGTGAGAAGCACAAATGAGAAAAAATATATATATATACATATATAGTTGACTAAAACATGATTAATTTGAAATTCTATTGGCTGTATAACAAGCTTTAATCTTTTGTTTCAGAATCACCATTAGGGTACACATTGAAGAATAGTCTTATACAGAAAATGGTGGGTCGTAAGATTCTAATCTTACAAGATTACACCTCACATGCATGCCCCTTTAAGTGAATCTTGGGGTAGTCTAAAAATAAATACACAACATTAAAAAACAGTGAATTATTGAGGCAGCTTGTGCTTTCAGCTCAGTGGGAGCCACTCTAAGCTTTATAAACAATCATTATTCAGCTAACATGCGCATTCTTGGGGTCCTTAAAGTCATGATTAAGGAGACTATTCCATTATATTTATCCGTCATTAGACTTATTAAGTTGGTAAGAGAAATCAGAAAAGCTGTATTAGTTGAGAGAGATGGGAATCTGCATATCCTCTGCACCTTCAGAGATACACCAGGCCGACGATGGCCTTGAAAATGTCATGCATATCCAAGAAAATATTGTTTCTCATGGAATTGAGAAGCTTTGTTCTCTTTACTCTAAAGAAGGTAGCAAAGGAGTAAACCAAGACGCTGCTATTATTCACCAGGTCGGTTCATGCTATTTATTCTTCATTAGATTTCGAGTTTTGTTTTTTCAAGTTTTTTGCTTATTCCAACTTCTATTGGTTATTACGAAGGGCTATGGAATGGAACATGGAGCTTTCTGTGGAGTTTTTGATGGGCATGGAAAGAATGGTCAGATAGTGAGCAAGATTGTGAGAAACAGGTTGCCATCACTCTTGCTAAATCAAAAGAACGCTTTAGCAAAGATAAAGATTGTTAGAGATCACAACAATGAGAAAGCAGATGGTGGTTTAGTATCATTACCAAGTGAAAGTTATCATAAATGGAAAGAGGCTTGTATTGGTGCTTTCAAGGTAATGGACAAGGAGATCAAGCTTCAAGAAAGTCTAGACTGCTCTTGCAGTGGAACCACTGCAGTGATTGTTATAAAACAGGTGAGTTTGAGCAAACAAATCCTTTTGGATCAATCATTTCTTTTTCATATGTAAAAGGAAATGATCTTTATTTATATTATTTTCTCATTCTTTTTTTGCTATTTGAAATATGAAAACAGGGTGAAGATCTTATTATAGCTAATCTTGGAGACTCAAGGGCAGTGTTGGGCAGAATCAATGATCAGAATGGTATCGTGCCTGTTCAATTAACCACAGATTTGAAGCCTGGAGTACCAAGTAAGACATCCTTCCTTCTCCAGTAAAGGCAGAGTTGAAACAATTTTTCATGATCATACGCAAATTTATCCTCTCATTCGTTTTTAAATTGGATCTTCTTATAATTCAGGTGAAGCAGAAAGAATAAGGAAATGTAATGGCAGAGTACTTGCACTAAAGGAAGAGCCACACATCCATCGAGTCTGGCTACCTCATGAAGATTCTCCAGGCTTAGCCATGTCTCGAGCTTTTGGGGACTTTCTACTCAAAAACCATGGAATAATTGCATTACCAGACATATCTTGTCACCGAGTAACTTCCAAAGACCAGTTCATCGTCCTTGCATCAGACGGGGTAAGCAACAGCCTCTACACAAAGATGTTGGTAGAATCTAATTTTTATTTCAAAAGTGAAGTAATAATTACTGGTTTGGGTTACTTGTCTCCTGAATCCTGTTACTTAGGTGTGGGATGTGCTTAGCAACAAAGAAGTGGTATCCATCGTCGCGGCGGCAGATAGTGAACAGGGAGCAGCAAAGGCAGTGGTGCAGGCTGCTACAGCTGCATGGAAAAGGAAGTTTACTTCTTCAAAAGTAGATGATTGCACGGTGGTTTGCCTCTTCTTACAAAAGAGAAGCCAGCAGTCTGACTTCATCTTTTAGCCCAAGTCTTGTAATAGTTGAGCACTGCCCCCTCTTTCACTTTTGGTCCCAGCTTATGTTCATAATGTTGTAATACTGCCAGCTATTTTCAGATTTCTATTTGAGAAACCTTAGAAGTCTCCAACTATACAGAGTCCCATATACTGTACAGGTGAACACAGGAATCGTTGAAAATGCACAAGAGATTTTACAGTAGTCAACAAAACAATGATTAACACTTTTTGAGTATTATGTTGAAATAACCCCCAAAGAATCCCAAAATCACATGACTACAATCTCATCGGAAAGCTTTTTTATGCGAACCAGAATGTCTCCCCCCGTACACAGTCATAAGATGTACTCACAGTTACGCATAAAAATGGGTTCAAGGCCCGTATATTCTTCTCTTTTGAGTTTGTTAATGTAGATCAGCAGGAAGCCATGCTCATTTAAATTTTAGAGCTAAGATGGCACCTTTATGTCCATTAGTTCAGAATCATGCTTCATCATTTTTCAGATCATCTCCAAGCAAGTCGTCATATGAAACAGGTACCCTGATCCTGTCATGCACAGATTTGCGCTTCTCATCAGCACTGGAGTGCTCATTCTGATATTGAGGTGCTAGCTCATTTTGAGAACTATCTGGTATGCTGGCTGGAGTCTCATCAATGAATGCAGAGGCAGTTCTTTGAGGGGAACACTCATTCTTTTGCTCTGGTGCTGGCCAAATACTTTGTTGCCTAAATTGCTTCTGCAAATGAAGATCCAGATAATACAGATTGTTAGTATTCAAAAAAAGACAATGAAACGCAAGGTACAGTGTAATACAAGGATCAGCAACATGCATTGGATCAGCGACAGACAGAGTGACAAATGATTGACTTTATACATGGTTGTGTTTGCAGACACACAGCATAATCCCGATAGTTGCCTACTTGTTGGAACGAAACAATAGTTCATTAAATAAATGCATCTGCGGGAATACAATAGTTACCCACCTCAAATTCCTTTGCTTTTTTCATTATCTCTTTGTAGGCCATTGGTTCTCTTGCTTTCATGATATTCCATAATATCCCACCACCTGTTCGAAAACGTCTGCCGTCAACTGTCATCTGCCCTCCACAAGACTGAATTGCATCCACCTGAAACTTACATTTAGCATGCAAAACTTTTTAAAAAATAAAATCTAAACAGAACACACAGAAACATAGCAAACACTTGCAAAAAGGAGCAGGAAGAGAGAGAAGGGCAGTAGTTAAAAAAAAATTTTCATGCTTTCAAGAGACAAAGCAAAAGGTAGCACAATGCATTAAGATGTTGTAAATACCATCAAGAATCTAGAACTGAAAAAAAATAACCATGAAGATCAGAAAATTATTCAAGAAATTACTATTTGCTGACAACCAACGAGCTGGACAAAAACATAGAAACTAGTAACTACCTTAAACAACCATCATCTACTCATGAGAGTAACAATACCATAAGTTATGGCCACAAAGTTGCAAAAAGAACTAGGATTTAAGAACTTAATATGCATATGTCTACGTGATATATTTCACATAAGGAACATATGCAACACAGTTTAAAGAGCAAGGAAAAGACACTGTCAAGAGTGGGGGAAGCTGTTTCTAATTTTTCAGCGAGCATTGGGGATGTTAAAATAGTGTTGAAACTCTTACAATGCATATCAAATTAGAAAAAAATAAATAAATTATATCAACCTACATAAAGCAAAAATGATGAAGTGGTTCAGCCAAGTTATATCTCATCTCAGAGCACAGAATTTGAAACAGCAAAATGGCTTCGACAATGTAAATCTGCAAGGGTAGATAAACAATATACAGCATCAGATATTATGGAAGGCTTTAAATAGAGTGGATGAGCATTGATGGCTCAGGGCCAGTCCAGAATCATGTAAACCCAAACCCTCACCTTTCCTGTCAACTAGCAAGTACACCTTATGTGCCTGTTACCAAAATGAATGGTGGCTTGTTTCAAACTAATGATCCTATATGGAACAGATAGGGAGCATATCTAAGCGGCAGGTTAGATCATCATCAGAAAGCACAGTCGTGGTGGCTAAACTAATAGCCAGTGCATATACAGAAAGAAGTATAGCTATGGACTTCCTAAACAAAGAGTGATGGGCAGATTCAAAAAAAAAAAAAAAAACACTTTTAACAGAAAATGATTTGCTAAGCACAAAGAAGACAGCTCAATGGTGAAATACGAAAAACAACATCAAGATGCATAAACTTCGAACTTATTGGGCTATTGGGCATCTCCAAACTAACATAAAAACACAGACCAACAATACGCAGTAATGGTATCTACTGCACGGTTCTGTTAGTCATGAAAGCATCATCAGGAAACCATAAATTGTCATTTAGACGCCATGGAATGCTTAACTCACAAATTAATTTCAAAAGCAAAAGAGATTAATTTACTGATCACATACAAATCTTTTCTAGGTGAATAAAGGGACATTACCTCTTTCACAAGATCACTTAACGCAGAAACCCCCAAACAACCTACAGCCGTATATACCATGTAGGATTTCTTCTCTTTCAAACGTCTACATGTATCTAACACAAACCTGCAAAGCAAAACAACTTTAGACCCAAAATCAGGTAAAATGTATCAAATTAGGAAAACATTCAAAATAATTCACCATGATTTTTAAGACAAAACCAAATAAAATTCCATCATCTAACAAAGAACAAAAACAGTTGTCAAAATCAATGTGATGCAAGAATTTACTTGTTAATGTCAGTAACGTTAGACCCAGGACCACCTCCTCTCTTCTTCTTATTCTTCTTCTTCTTTTTATTTGCGCGGCGCCTTTGGTTTTTACTTTGAGACTCTGCATTTCCAACATTCGCACCACCACCGTCACGACTGCCACTGTTTAGTCCTAAATCAGTGTGTGAATTGTCGTCCACAACAAACTCTCCTTCTTCCACGTCAAGCATATCAACATCTTCTAAATTGTCGTCGTCGTCATCAAGGATTGCCTCCAATATGTTTCTTCCTTCCTCCATCTAAAACATAGAAAAGAAAAAACGAGTGTTTCTATTAGTTTGTAATTAAATTACATATTTAAACCCTAAACTAAAACTAGAATAATCAGATAATAAATGGAGAGTAGAGAGGCATAGATTTTTTTTTCCCGAAAAAAAGCTAACCCTTTGAATAGTTTTATGCAGGTAAGGAAGATGTCGTATCGCGGTTTGAGCTTAGGAGTACTGCTGCGTTTTATGAGGTTTCGGGGTTTTTGGAGAGGAGAACTGTGACAGCACAAGTCGGCTTGTTTGGCTGCGAGGGATTTATGAGCACTGGTTAATCCAGAGTTTTCAGATTTGGATGGCTAGAATGCACCTATGGTGAGCTAGGTCTTTCAGGAAAATTTGTTTGTTCTTCATTTTTTGTGGGTTTAGGATTTCAGTTAGGCCCGAAAGAGATTCCATCTATGGTGGGCTAGGTCTTTCAGGAAAATTTGTATAATCTTCATTTTTTGTGGGTTTAGGTTTTCAGTTAGGCCTGAAAGAGATTCCATCTATGGTGGGCTAGGTCTTTCAGGAAAATTTGTATAATCTTCATTTTTTGTGGGTTTAGGTTTTCAGTTAGGCCTGAAGGAGATTGGCTCAAGACATGTCAGTTATGTGGGCTTGGAAATTGTGATATGTAGGCTTGGGTCTTTAGAGCCTGGATCAGTGGCCATGGCATAAATTTCCTGATGCTTTCAAGTCCACTAATAAATAATAATAGTATTTGTTTAGTTCAATAAAAATGGACACTTGTTCAGCTGTTCTAACATGTTGCTTTTGCCTGTAGGAGAGGAGAAAGCTAGAACAAACGACACCACAAACTTCTAACCAAATGGCAACTAGTTTTTTCTTTGTCGTGAAAGAGACAAGAGTTCAATCAACTAGGCTGTCTTCAACTAATTTTTACTAGGTTTTATCTTTTATGATGAGGAATCATGTCGGTAAATTGTGGGTGTGTGAATTGACGACACACTGGACGAATACAAATTGTAGGCGGTCTGGATCGATAACGTGCATCTCCTTTTCGTACTACAGGTTGCTTCCTTCCACTGGGCTGAAGTAGTTTTTTCTCCAAGTTGTTTGGCAGGTAGGTGAAAATAAAGTAAATGTACTGACTTAAACACTGTACTAGATATTTATGTTAACGACATGATACCCCAAGGAAGTGTGGAGAGATGAGATCATAGCCTCCAAGAATCAGAATCTTGATGGATTCACTTGTCTCTCCTCTTAAAAAGTTGAGAAGGAAAAGAAACAATTGGATTCATTCATTTTTAGACGTAGTAGGTCCCCTGCCCACAGCGTGTATCAACTGCAATAATGCGTAAAAGACATCAGCCGTGACGAAAGAAGCAAGCAAAAGCTCTGATCAGGACGTCCCTTTGTTTTACATAAATAAACAATGGTGCCTTGTATCAAGCAATGCAGAAAATCACACTTATATCGTTGAATCTGAGAGATGACACGACAAGTATTACCTGGCTCTGAAAGCAATTAGTCTTACCGTTATTAAAGAATAGCATTCCAGGTTTTCACTCCTCTCTCGGAGTCAATATTGCCCTGTAGGAACACTAGATAAGAGGCTAATAGCAACAATTGACGTGGGAATTGAACGAGAATCAATACCACACATCCTTGATCAAATGTTTAGCCAATCCATTCGGGATCAACAACTGGCACGAAAGTTGTAATATAAGAAAATCATGAAAAACACAACTTATTTGAATAATCCAGTAACCTACCAATTGTAGAGGTAGGGTTGTTGGCAAGTAATAAGCACCTAAACAATACAATTCCAGTTCACCATCTTCTTTCTCACTTGGAAAAGTAAAAAAGCGTGGAGAAAAAGGAAATAACTCTATACTGTCTATGGTATAGTGACAGCGGTCAATGCTAGTGTGCGTACGAAGTAAAGGTGAACTGAATGTTGAAAACGTTTAATGCGCTCTTTACGGATCTCGGCTGCTAAAGCGAAGCCTTCCCAAAAAGACGAAAAGTCATCACTCTCCATAACCTCCGGACCCATACCATAACAAAATAATAATAGTAATCTAGTTAATGTCCAAAATCATCTTTTGTTACTTGACTGCTAAAAATAAGCGAAAGGATGCTCATACATGCAAATAAAAAAAAAAAGATTTAAAATGGAGGAGCAGTGGAGCACTACTTCTTGTGGGGCCACCTTCGTAATGTTTGTACTTCAGTAGACGCAACTGACTTACGTTAGTGTGTGTGTCTATATATATATATATTCTGAAATTGCTGACTGGATGTCACGGTATTATCCTAAAAGATTATTTCAATAAAAAAAAAACTTAAAATTATGAAATATAATGTATATTATTTCATGATACGAGGCTCGAGCGACAACCTTTTTCGGCCAAGTACTCGGTACAAAACGAAACTTCCATATACAAGGAGGGACCGTTGTCCAAATGGATGTCCAAAGGCTAGGGAAAGCTGGCGGCAGTGGGGACAGAAAAGGAGTGTAGTGGGAGGAAGGTATTCCTTTCTGCATCAATGTCGCTTGCAAGTTGCATCTGTGACAGTCAATTTTATCTGCTTTTTATTGATACTAAAAGATTCCATCCCAGTCTCCGTCGGGATCCACAGCTGGGTTCTCGAGAGCGCATCCTGGGTCGTCAATCAACTAATTCAGTTGGGAGACGTCACCAGGCGCAGTTAATGTACTCGAATTAAGTCCATTAGTTGCTGCAAAGGTCGCCTGAAACTGGCTTGACTCTGACTTTTACTCTCTAATTGGTTCATTAATTAACGTCCTTGCGTCCCAAAATCTTAAACACGCATCTTATTTGTCTTTTACCTATGATTCGTATCAAATCGACTCAATTATTTGAGGCCACCTGAATCTCTTATTAAAAAAATAATTTTTTTTTATATATGATAAGGGATCCAATTTATGGCAGGATGGCATCTCTAATGAAGAAACAAACAAAGAAAATTCTGACAAAAACTTTTAAGAGATTCGAATCCTCTTCCCTTAAAAGGATATGATGTTCTGAACTATAATATGTCTAAGTAGAGTTATGAACTTGGGATTTAGTTGAACTAAAGATTATTTTGCAGTTAGTTTGTTAAGTTTCATTTCAATACATGACAGCATACAAGAGAAGCGGCCTATTTCTTAGCTCAGGTTTTTATGTTTTTATTTATTAGTTCAGGTTTTTTTTTTTTTTTTTTACTGTTAAAGGGTTTTAGTTATTTTATTGTTATTGCAAGTAATGATTTTTTTTTTCCAATGATAAGAAGTGTTTTCAGCGCAACTTTTTATCAATTAAAACTAATTTTATTCTTTTATGATTTTAAAAATATATTTTCCACATGAATTATGTATTTAAAAATATGTATTCTTCTAAAAGCAAGCTCTAATATTCAAAATTGGTAGCATATTTTATTATTTTATTTTTTCTTAATAAAGTCTAAATTCTGAATAACAATTGGTGCCCCCGGCTGGTTAAAAAGTTTCACCAGGAACCAAGCTGCTTCAACACATAATGATTAGAACACTGGAGCAGAATGATTAAAAGATGAAGCCTTCTCGTGACCCCTCAAAGCCCTTGCATTAAAAAATGGTTAACAGCTGCCACCGAAAAATGACTTCATCGTTTTCATGAACATGACAAAGATTTTTGTTAATTTTCTAGGCTTGGGTTTTCAGGGAAAAAATATATATATATTTTCCGGTACTTGTACAGAAACGAAAGAGGAAATCTGAACTTAATCTATTGCCCTGCTAGTTTATGTACTATCTAACTACGAAACTCAGATTATCAGAAATATACATAAAAAAAATTATCAATCTCATCAATAATTGAGCTAGATAAATAAATAATAAACAGTGTAGAGAAACCATCGCCACTAATAATTTAGCAAACAGGGCCTCTCTATCTAACCACCAGTCAAAATTCAAACCTCAATCTCCTCGACGAAAACCGTCATGACAAGCGTCGCTGGCGTCATAATTTTTCTTCTTGTTGCTGTCTATGGTGTTGCTGTCGGAGGGGTTCTGTGGATGCCATGTGAGTTTTCTAGGTTTTCCCGTCCTGGTGGAGCCAATGATGTTAACAGAAATGATTATTCTACCGGGACTAGATCGGCTGTTCTGATTGCTGGATCTAATGGATACAGAAATTACAGGCACCAGGTGATAATTACTCTCTAATTTTATCTTTTATTTTCCATCCATGTATTTTGATTTTTTTTCATTAACTTATTTTTCTGATCTCTAAGGTATTTCAGGGCGAGGGATGACAATCACAAGGTATAAAACAGATATAGGCTTTATCTAATCTAATAAATATTTTATTAGATTTAATAAATATTTATTAAAAACATCTAATGAGTATCAAAGTGATTAAAAGTAAGAATATACATATAAACTAACATGGTTTAAGAAAATAGATGCCTACTCTTTATCATATTAATATCTACTAATTTGTTTAGATTTTTTACTAATATATAGAGATCTAATTGTATAAATTTAAAAATTAAAGACTAATTTTTTTTCAAAAACTTTGAGGACCAAAAAATTATAAATAAATGATTAAAATGCAAAAAAAAAATTAAGAACCAAAAAAAAAATTCTTGAAAATTCTAGGGATTAAAATGAATATTTTTTATAAATTAAATTTAGTAGATATTAAATGGGTATTAAATTGACGCATAAACTATTATTAATATGGTATGAGTTGGATAAAATTTTATATGATGATTTTTTAATAGATAATGGATATGATATTTTTTTATAAATAAAATAAAAAAATTGAATTAACAGAGCTAATTATCTACCAATTGTTATTTTTACCCAAGCCCGGAGGCTCGGATTAATCGTAAACTCTTCTTTGAGACACATAAGACGAAGATAACTATCTAAAGAGTTTTTTTATATACACAAGAACTTAAATTCAAAATCACTTATTTAAACAACTAGAGCTCATTTGCTTAGTAAATGATTTTAGTTTTTTTTTTTTTTTTCCTTTAGCTTATTCTTATTAAAATGAAACAAGTGAACTGAAAACTAACCATGCTATTAAGATTTTGAATCATAACTTTACTTGTCATGAAATGCCCTAAAATGTCAAACATAATTAAGATTTTCTTAGTTATTATCTATAGCAAAACCATTTTCTAACATAATTGTTCTAGAATGTCAAACACAATTAAGATTTTTCTTAGGTATTATCCATATCAGAACCATTTTATTAGTTATTTTCCATATCAGAACCATTCTGAAGAGGAATGAATGATATGGACGGCTTCTTGGGCAGCTGCCCCTCGACACTCGCCCTCTAATGAAGCCACGTATAATGAAAATGTCATTAGAGATATGACATCTTTACTCATCGTTCCTCCTTTAATCTGCTGTCTTTCCATCTCTCCTGCTTCTTCAACCATTAATCTCCTTCACATGATGCACCTGTCCATAAATGTTTAGTTCCTTTCTAAATCTCACAAGCAAATCTAATTAACTAGCACTTCCTTAATTGTACTTTAATTTTTTTTAACACCTCCGATGAAATCATGTTGAGGATGATCGATTTCTCCCTTCTGAGTTCTGTCACCTCCTGCTTTCTGGGATCATCCTCAAAGGATCCCTTCGTCAAATTTTCTCTCACTTTATGCTTTTGGAGATGAAATATTTAGTGGGTCTTGTGCAGCTCTAAACATTGAAGACCGAGTGAGCAAATCCGTGGCAATTTCTCGTGGCCTTTTCCTTTTCTGCATTTTGTTTCATCCGTTTCCGATACCAAGACTAGCCAGAGGTTCAATAATTAATTTTTCACACGCTTTATTTTGGGTGCAAAAATTTCCGTCAGAAGTTAAAAATGATGTATTTGATTTCATATTTTTATTTTCTATTTCAGGAAAAAAAAAAAAACCAAAACAAAAACGAGCTCTCTTGATTCTGCCCTTTTCTAACTCTGGTTGCCGGTAAGTGCAGGCCGGCTATACAAGTTTGCGGGTTATGTGAATTACACGTGGCCTATTATGTTGGAGAGTGTCCAAGGCGTCGAAAGAATTTGACGACAGTGGATGTTTTCGTCTTAGCAATTGTGATAATGAATATTGTTACCACTAATTACAACTATACAACAAGAAATTGAATCAATCAGATTTTCTCTATACAGTAAAAAGTTGAATCAATTAGATCAAAGAGAATTACATAAAAATTACAATAAAAAACAGGTAAACTTCCATAAACAGAATGTCCTAATTTGTTGCGCTATCATGCTCAAGCAAGTGCAAGGGTCCAGAGAGTATACTAAGCTTGGCCGGTGAAGATGAAACTATTTTTAAGCTAGCGACTTAGTTAAATAGTTAGCAAGTTGATCTTTGGTATGAATTGGACAGATTCGAAGCAATTTACGAGCAATTTAATCTCAAATGAAATAAAAGTCAATGACAATGTGATTCATTTGGGAGTAAAAGATAGGATTAGAGCATAAATAGCTTCAATGTTGTCGTAATAAATCATTAGGCAGGTTGTAATAAAAGATAACAAATTCTTATAGAAAGTTAATGATAATGATTCTTTCGTGAGTGAAAGACAGGATTAGAGCATAAGTAGCTCTCATTAGAGAGATTGTAATAAAGATAATAAGTTCTTATAGAAAATTAGTGATCTTACTTGCTTCAACACTAAAAGCAACAATTGATATATTTGGTCTTACTAGAAAAACAATCAATTGTCGATTACGTTTTTGAACTCCAAATAACATGATTAGACATAAGAAAATCAACGTAAGCTAATGTAAAGTGTCAAATGTCTACATCACCAACTTAATCGACGTTTATAAATGTATTAAGAGAGAGGGGTGATTGAGTAGAGATGAATATTCCATAATAAGAGGTAGCTTTGAGATATCGCAATATCTTTTTCACTGTATTTCAATAAATAAAGGATGGTAAATGCATAAATTAAACTAATTTGTTAACCTTAAAAGTTATATTCGATATTGTAAGAGAAAGATACTAAAGAGACCTAAGGACTTGATGATATTAAATCATATCATAATTAGACAAATTATCATCAAGTATGAGTTTTTCAAAAGACGATAAGAATGTGCTAATTGTCTTTGTTATATATATATATATATATATTGAGATAAGAAGAGATCATTATAGGTCTAATATGTTTTCATGCCAAAAAAAATAGTTCATCTTAATGAGTTTTTTAAGTGAAAATCAATTAGACAATAGTGTCGTGAAAGCATGAATGGTGAGAGAATGATTGCCAATAAGGATGATAATATACACATACATAAGTAAATATATAATGTGATGCCTATAATTATAGATAAATAGAGATGTGTCACTTTTATAATTAATGAAGCTATTAGCAAGAAGAAAGATACCAAGTTCATTGCACCATGCCCTAGGAGTTTGGCGAAGATCATACAATGTTTTGTGTGGTTGACAAGCATGGGTTGGATATTGAGGGTCCACAAAGTCTTGGGGTTATTGCAGGAAAACACGATAAAAAAGAGTTCCTTGCGAGAATACGTTATTAATATTCAATTAAATTCAAAATCCAACCGCGAGTCACCACGGTTGTAAGTACTAGACAAATAGCTGCTGGTTTGGTAACCGGACAAAAGATTTTAGTGAAACAACATCAGGCCGTTGGTGAAATCTATTAACCTCAATACGAGTTTTAATCGAGAAATTGAGCCACCATGGTTTATCTTGATTCGGTAAACCCATTTACACCCAACAATATTTTGTACAGGTGAGAGAAGGATTGATGACCAAGTTTTAGTATTTTAAAGGGTGAGAAGTTTTTCTTTCATAGGATTATGCTAATGAGAGTATTTATTGACTCGATGATGAGGTTGTGGTATGAAGCGAAAACTTAAGCGAAGGAGGTGGGTTTGGTTTGAGAAGAAGATGGGTGGTGAGGTTGTGGTATGAAGGTCCTCAATTTAGAATTTTAGCTTGGGTTACCATACGAGATGGTTGAGCAAGTTTCAACAATCCTAACGAGTCTATGGTTGAGATCCATCGATAAATCCAGAAGGTCCTCAATTGAAACGTAGATCGGCCATTTGGGACTTCCAAGATGCATAATTTTCACCATTTTTTCGAAGTTTTAACAAAATCTGAGAGGAGGCATTGAACTATATCATATTTCTATTGGCGGAGATGAGTTTGTCTTGCATCACAGAGTTCGTTGGTGCAGAAATGACTTTAAAATTTCCAGAGACGGTAGTTGAAGCTTTTTGAAAAAAGAGTTTGAGTTGTGTGAATTTTTTTTTATTGATGTCTCCATTGCATTTGGTAAGGTCAAAAGAATACATATAGAGAAAGACTAAATGAAGGCACGTTTTTCTTCTATAAACAGAGAAAGTTTTGGTGTCATAAAGAATTTAATAAAAATTATGATTAGAAAAATATTGTTCCACTAATTACCGCTATGAAATACAAAACTACGCCCATAAGATTTCTTACTAATTACAGCTACACAATAGAAAACTGAATCAATCAAATAAAAAAAATACATAAAGACTAAAAAAAAAAAAATTAAAAATTCTACATAAACAAAATATCCTAATTTTGTGCTTTGTCAGCGACTGCCCGTAGCCATTCCCACATTCTCAACACCGCCAGAAAACCACAAAAGATGTAAGGACTAAAGAGCTAAAAAAAGGAAGGAGAGCTGCGCAGCACCTTCCCAATAAAACAACTTTGCTTAACCGACTAAAACACTCCAGTGGGTCCCACAAGCTCGTAAAAAAGTTTTCCACTCTCCCAAGCAACTGGATCCTTTTCTAAATAGCAGGACCAACTACCGTTCAACTTGCACAGTAATTGAGATTCAGTCAAAACTAAGCCACGTATGTCTCCAAAATTTCATCATCAAAACCTCACCGTTCGATCAGCTACCCCGTATGACGCTCGTATCAGGACACTGCTGTAATTCTACAGGCCCACCTTGGCGTCTACCGGACTCTTATCACGAGATTCCTCTTCTAAGAAGAATCAATTCAATCCTCACCGTCAGATTCATTAGGACCCACTCAAAGAATCTGATCTATTTTGAATTACCCATTTATCCCCATCTAATAATATAAATTTATGTCCTCACCCACGATTCTTTGACACCAACCAATCAAACCATTCTTTTCTCTAATTGGAAAATCGATCATGACGCGACTCGCTGCCGGCGTAATTTGTCTTCTGATTTCTTTCTGTGGTATTGCCGTCGGTGGCCGAGACACCGTTGGTGAAATTCTCCGGTTACCATCGGAGGCTTCTAGGTTTTTCCGTCCTGACAAACTTAATAATGTTAATAGTGGTGATGCTTCCACCGGAACTAGATGGGCCATCCTGCTTGCTGGATCTAACGGTTACTGGAATTACAGGCATCAGGTCATAATTATTCTAATTTTAAAATTTTGAATTTAACAGCTACATATAATTAGGCTGATTTATTTTTTTCTTTTCTTTTTTTTTTCCTCTTTTTCAGGCAGATGTTTGTCATGCATATCAACTGTTGAGAAAAGGTGGATTAAAGGAAGAAAATATAATCGTTTTCATGTACGATGACATTGCTTATAACACAGAGAACCCAAGACCTGGGGTCATCATCAACAATCCTCAAGGAGAAGATGTTTATAAAGGAGTTCCAAAGGTTTTGTTTTGTTTTGTTTTCTCATCTCTTAAAGTTTACGAATCGGTTATTTATTAGATATATAAACTTTGTGCTTTCACTACTCATGGGGTTGATTTTGTTGTGTGTCAGGATTATACTGGTAAAGATGTCACTGTCGGAAACTTTTTCGCAGCTATCCTTGGAAACAAGACTGCTCTTACTGGTGGCAGTGGAAAAGTTGTCGATAGTGGCCCGAATGATCATATTTTCATTTACTATACTGATCATGGGGGTCCTGGGGTGCTAGGTTTGTTACATATTCTAATCACAGTTTATTTCTTTTTCTTTTTACCAGAAATTTTTAGAATTTTTTTTTATTGGTTTTATCTGATTATTTCATGCTTATGCCTGCGATGGGATGCACCATAATAACATAACTGACTCTGCCTTATTTTATATCTTAGCAACTGGGTTTTTAGTTCCAGTCCTAGATTCTAAATAAATGTACAACTTATGATTGATGAATTAAAATTTTGAAAACTGTTTCCTAGCACTGTTCTTGTCACTGTCTTTTATTATTACTAGTTCTATTCTTTGGAATACATGTCGTTTATTGGAATTCTCGTAGGTTTTTACGTTTCTGAATGATCAAATAGGCTAATTAATGTTCATGGGTGGATTTTATCAGGGATGCCTACCAATCCTTACCTTTATGCCGATGATTTGATTGATGTCTTAAAAAAGAAGCATGCATCCGGGACCTATAAAAGCTTGGTAACTACGAGCTAAACTTCCACTTGCAGCACTCTTGAGTTAGTCTAATCAACTTCAATTTTTTTATGGGCTATATCTGTAAAACTGTAGGTGTTTTATCTTGAAGCCTGTGAGTCCGGAAGCATCTTTGAGGGTCTTCTTCCCAAAGATATAAATATCTATGCAACCACAGCATCAAATGCAGAAGAGAGCAGTTGGGGGACCTATTGTCCTGGAGAGTATCCTTCCCCTCCCCCAGAATATGAAACTTGTCTGGGTGACTTGTACAGTATTAATTGGATGGAGGATAGGTATGAATGGTGTTAATTTTGATTATTATTTTTTTTCCTTTTAGATGCAAGGAAGTCAGTATTGAATTGTCAGAAGCATCATTTAGTTGTTTTTGCCACTCATCTAATATAAAAAGAATAGCAATACTTATTAAAAAAAAAAGGGAAAACAATCAGGCACAAAGGATTTACTTCTTGTCAAGGCAGAAATGTGGCCTAGGCTCTTGGATTGATCCAGTAATCATTTTTCATATGTTCTGCTAGGCTGACAAGACAGATATTTTGTTTAAAAAAATTAATAATTCGACCTTTTGAACAGTGACGTACACAATTTACGGACAGAATCTTTGCACCAGCAATATGAACTGGTAAGTGCTTGCAAGCCATTCGTTTTATTTTTAGATGATTTTGAGCATAATCCGCAACGAATATGGCGTTTTTTACCTGCCTGCATAATCATATGATTTCATTATGGTCCATGTGCAGGTAAAAAGGAAGACTTCCAATGAAAATTCTGCCTATGGTTCCCATGTCATGCAATATGGTGATGTAGGACTTAGTAAGAACCACCTCTTCCTGTATATGGGTACAGACCCTGCAAACGAAAACTACACTTTCGTGGAAGAGAACTCCTTGAGCTCACGTTCTAAAGCTGTTAATCAGCGTGATGCTGATCTTGTTCACTTCTGGCATAAGGTTTTTGTCTCACTTCTTTTGTTCCATTTTGAATTCAAACAATTTTTAATGCAGCGAGCTCTTAATTTTTTTATGTTTCATGTGCTTGTAAGTCATGCCTTCTGGTGTGGGTTGCTGTAGTAAGAACCAGGGTTATGATAATTACGTTAAAAGATTAGGACGGTTAGCCCAACAAATAAAGCTCTTCTATGATGATAGTAGTCTTATCTGGAGTTTTCAAAGAATCCGTATCATGAGGGTGCTCTTTGGGTATCTGTTGATATTACATGATTCAAAAAAACATTAAGGCTAATTGGTAGATATTAAGGTAGGAGATATTCAGCATATGAATCTTCATTTAGGATGCTGTGCATCAGTTGTAACAAGGAGCAGATGTGGGTCATAACTGCCCTTTATATATATATATATGATTAACTGGAAGCAATCGTGAGGAGATGTGCATAACTACTACTTTTTATACATTAGTTTTTTTTTTTTTTTTTTTTTTTGAGTGTTTGCTTCCATAGAAATTATCTTTCAACTTTAGTTCTATCTCACTCGATGTCCTCTGTTCTTTATGCAGTACCGTAAAGCCCCTGAAGGCTCTTCTAGGAAGGCTGAAGCTCAGAAGCAGTTTGTTGAAGCAATCTCACATAGAATGCATATAGACCACAGCGTAAAACTTATTGGGAAGCTCCTCTTAGGAATTGAAAAGGCCACAGAGGTATTGAATGCCATCCGTCCTGCTGGGCAACCTCTTGTTGATGACTGGGTCTGCCTTAAAACAATGGTAAAATTTTACAGTTCTCAGCCTTTGCTTTGTCACCCCCTAAGCTGTTTGTTCTCGTAGATTGCCAGCTCTGCTGGTCACATAATGAAAGACTCATTTGCATTTTTGAGAAAATGTCGTCCCTTGTTCTTCTATGCAGGTGAGGACTTTTGAAACACATTGTGGATCCATATCCCAGTATGGTATGAAACACATGCGATCTCTTGCAAACCTTTGCAATGCTGGAATTGGAAAGGAACAGATGGCAGAGGCATCAGCACAAGCTTGTGTAAGCTTTCCTTCTGGTCCATGGAGCTCTCTTCACAAAGGGTTCAGCGCATAATTGAAGCAGAATGTCCTATTTAAAAGAAAAAGAGTGGGGTTGTGTTCTTATTTGCAACGGTGATCCACCTGTATACAAGTTATCTCAGTGATGTAATTTAATGGTCAGTCTCGTGATTGCATTGTGTAAATATAATTAGATGCACCTCTCTGTCCAGATGATTTGTAATGAAGGCATGTATTAGAATGGAAGATATCCTGTCAAATAGGCCTCTTTATTTTTATTTTTTTTGGTGGTATTCATTACGAAATGCACTGTAAGATTTCTGCGTCAGCAGGTTAGAGGGGGCAGCAGTAGGTTCGAGCTTACCAATCCTTCCATTCAATAGAGCTGCTTCCAAAATTTGTAGCCTTGCCCGTTATGGGATTGTAACGCTTTGGTATGGTACAATGGATCATGTAATGTATTAATTCATGATTATAATTGTATTGATTTATCATATTACAAGTAGCAACGAGTATTGTTAAAAAGAAAAAGAAAAGAAGAAACTGTGACACTAATCATACGACCTCCTGGTCATTGCTCGGCTCGAACTATTACTTGAATAAAAAATAACCATACAACTAACGGATCAGAAAAGGTTATTCATTATTGAGAACCAAACTATACTTTTCGGTAAAATACAAGGACCAAACGTTCCAGCCGAAGACCACATTGTAAAAAGTAAAATACACACGGTCCCAAAAAGGAGCTGAAGGTAAACATGAAAAACGCTATATCACATTACCCATTTCTTACATTACATACACAACCATTTTAATGGGTATACCATCTTGCGCACAATTAAACACTCAATAAATATGTAGAAATGATTCAGTCGCAAGCAGACATACAGATTACAGAGTCAGAGCTCTCTCCCTCCCTCCCTCTCTCTCTCTCTCTCCCTCTCCCCCTCCCTCTCTCTCTCTCTCTCTCTCTCTCTCTCTCTCTCTCTCCGCTACAAAGCTGAAGATGAGCTAACACTGAGTTATTGACTTCGCAATCCTACAGGAACACAATGACAGCAAATATGGATCGGCTATACTATTTCATGCCTGACCTTGAATAATGGTGAAGTATGACTACTTATTCTTCGAGAATTGCAAAAAAGTGCAAAATTTGGATTAACCATCAATATTTATATAAATCAAGTATCAAGTTGCGATGAATCCTCCAATGCTAGTGAGTATATATATACACATATAAAATTCAGATTAATACCTTCATCTATCTTTATATAATAATTGAATTTTTCAATCTGTCCTGAAAAAAAATTTAATCTGTTTTTATATTTGTGCTGGTTAATTTCTAATCTATATATCCTTTTAACATAGTTAAAATTTTTGACCAATTCATTAGAAATTAAGCATGTAATTTACACATAGTATATTATTTATTAAAATTATTTTTGTTATTTAACATAATTAATCTATATTTATTAATATAAAGATTAATTTTTAATAAATTGATCGAAAATATATTTGACAAGAAAGATAGATTAGCAACCAACTCAAAATATAAAGCTAAATTAAAAACATTTTTTTTAGGAGCAGATTGAAAAATATAAGAACATGTAAGGGTATTAATCCAAAAAAATTAAATGGTGAGTTACTATACACGTTAGACTTGGGGTATGCATCGTGTATCTTGTAATTTCTTTCAATCGAAGTAGCTAGTTTGAGTCCTGAGAACATTAATTTTTTTTTAATATTTTTTATTGCTGTTTTGTAAAGAAATGATTCAGTCGCAAGCAGACATACAGATTACAGAGTCAGAGCCCTCCCTCTCTGCTACAAAGCTGAAGATGAGCTCACACTGAGTTACTGACTTCGCAATCCTACAGGAATACAATGACAGCAAATATGGATCGGCTATCCTATTTCATGCCTGACCTTGAATAATGGTGAAGTATGACTACTTATTTTTCGAGAACTGCAAAAAAATTTCAGTCAATCATACCACATGGTAGTGCCACATTTCATTTTTAGGAACGAAAAACAAATATAATATGATGAGATAACAAAATCTTATTGCCCAATCTGTGGGCACACTCACACATGATAAGAGACATTGGCTGTAAATCGCAGTATTCAACAAGCATACAAACCCCATATCAAAGTTACGAGGCATACATACAATCACTAGCAGTCATATAAATCAATCCTCGCTAAGGGAAAGAACAGCACAAACACAGAGGGGGATCTTCTTCGTTACATCAACAACATATTAGTACTCCTCAAGTATTGTGGTGCACTCTCAAGTGAGGAGCAAACAACTTTCTACTTTCTGGTACCCTGGCTCCTGGTGACAATGTTATTCCGCTAAGATTCTCTGTGGCTTCACCTGAAACAAGTCATTCAAAACGAATGTGGGAAAAAGGAACTCCATGGACAATCAAGTAAACTGTTATTGACAGAATAGTGATTCATACGGTGAAGAAACCCTAATAGGTGCTGGTTCCTCATTGGTCCACCTTGGCCCAAAGATTCCAGTACATAAAGAAGTGTGGATGAGAATATTAATAATCAAGCATGTTGCTGCAAACAAATTCAAAATGCTAGCATGCATGATCCTGGGATACCAAATGACATATTGAAAACATTTTACTACGGATGATGCTGACTTCCAAGTTAACTTTACCAAACTTTTTTCTATTTAATGGGACTTCATATACGGTTTCTCGCTCTGAAGTCTAACTCTCCACATCACATATTTTTCATATTTATTTGAAAGGGACTAACGCTGATAACTACAAGTTTTTTTGTTAAATAGAACCACTGACTTTCAGTTCTTGCAAAATTGAACCTATATATCACAAGTTGCAAGTGCATATTAATACTCTGAGCAGTGGCATGTTTTGCGTTAAATACATTCTTATTCTTTGTTCTATATCCAGCATCTACCCAATAGGCATGCATAGCATATGTTTTTACAAGGTTTTCTAAACCTTTTGGACAAAAAATCAGTTCCGTTTGCATAAAAACACAACCAAAGCTTAAACTCTGTAAGACAAACTCACCAGTCAGGTGCTGCCAAAAGATGAGCAGTTTTTAATCTCTATATCTGAGTCGCTCATCATCACGTTTGTCATTTTCATACCGTTTCCTCTCACTCGAACGAGAATCATCATATCTAGATCTCTTGGAGTGATCTATCTGCCTGCCCCTCTCATGACCTCTACTTCCTTGCTCTTCTTCCACCCCTCTTCCATGCCTTCTGCTACCATACCGCTGATCTACATCATTCTTTCCATGCCTTCTATAGTTATCATCCTCTTCTTCATCTCTTTGGTACCTTCTCCCTCTACGATCCTCTCCATCCCTGGCATGTCTTTTCTCCCATCCACGCTCTTTGTATTCCTGATCATTCCTACTTCCACGTCGTGGTTCATCTTCTTTATGTGTACGTTCAACAATTTCTTCACCATGCCCTCCGGACCTAACCAATTTAGAGTAATCATCCCTCCTCTGATAATCCTTGCTTTGATATGCTCTGCGATCACTGTCATGCCCTGCCTCTTTTCCAACCATTCGATTTCTCGACTTCGATTCACGCTCCTCATCCTTAATTGAATCATCAAGTTTCCTTTTGCTCCTCCCCATTTCTTGAATATCACGGTTGGTTTTATCCACAGCTTCTCTATGGTACAGTTCTCTAGGCCTATCATCACAGTCAAGATCACTAGATCTAGAGCCCTTCTCTTCTAGAAAGGATCCACGACCACTTCGACCATCTTTGTTATAACCACCATCCTCTGCACCACTTCTGTATTTATCAGTGGGAGTTTTTTTCACAGGTTTCCCATGTCTGTAACCACTGCTGCCAGAATCACTGCTTCTGCTACCATCCTCATTGTCGTCATCCAGAGAACCCAGCTTCTTCTCAATTGTCTGCCTGTGATCTCCACCTCTACTTCTACTTTTATCCATGAGATTTTTCTTCACAGTTATCCCATGTCCATCACTACTAGCACTGCTGTCAGAATCAGTGCTCCTGCTATTGTCACTATCTCCTTTCAGAGAACCTCGCAGCTCCTCAACAACTTTCTTCCCTTTCCTACCATAAATCGTATCAGAATCTTCTTCATCACTATCATGCCTCCTCCTACTTCTAATTTTCTCTAACTTATCATCACCGCTAGCATCAGAATCACTATCATTCCTTTTGCGGCTCCTACTTGTCAATTCCTTTCTAGGTTTTTCTACTTTGTTGAGATCAGACTCACTATCACCTTCACTGTTTCTGCGCCCTTTCCCATGCCCACTGCCACCACCATTCCAGCGATCATCAACATCAGAATCATCATCAGAGTCATGCCTTGCACGAGGTTTCTTGTATTTCTCAACTTCGTGATGCGGATTAACCTGGTCAACATCATCCGTATCATCAGTAGCAGAATCATCACTATCACTAGATCTTCTGCTTTTCTTGTGTTTCTCATAAATTCTGCTCTTCTTCTTGCCATAATCAGAATCAGTTTCATCGTCAGTAGCAGAATCATCACTTTCACTGTCATATCTTCTGCTTTTCTTATGCTTCTTTGGTTTTCTCTTATTCTTGACATGGTCAGAATCACTTTCAGTTTCACTATCCCTTCCTCGTCTACCTTTACTATGCTTCTTGCGACTTCCTTTAGCATGCTTTCCACTGCTATCTGTATCAGAAGAATCAACCTGACGCCTTCTCTTCCTGCTTTCTTCCTTCCTGTGGCGCCTTGACTCGTCAAACTTATCTTCTTTCTTCTTATTTTTCATGGCTTTAACAACCTTTTTTTCTCATCCTTCTCAACTTCTAGATCTTCAGCCACATGTTTCTTGCGGGTGAACTCTCTATCCAAAAAGGCGTGTTCACGTTTCTCACTCCACTTGCTTCCTTCACCTGAGTCATTCTTTTGACTATTTCTAAGTCCATCATCACTCTCTTCAATGCCTTGTTCATTTGGTTCAGACATTCGTATACCAAGAGCAGCCCTTAATGTTTCCATCTGTTTTTCCTTCCTAGCAGCAATTTGATGGGACTGTGTATCTGAAACCCTGATTAACAAATTAAAGACATTATCACATCAACAAGACAGAGTACAATATTAACAATAAGCATTCCAACTGTATGAAATCCATATACATATACAAACATATATATATATATATATATATATATAGGGATTTGCTAACTTGCCCACTGTTTGGGCAGGTTAGCATCATGCCCATTTTTCTTGTGATAACACTCTTTAATTCTCTTCTATCAAACACAGCTTTATCAGGCACACATACAATTTCATTCTGAATTGCAAATCATCTCCTTTTCATCTTTCCCACTACGTTTCTTCTGCCCTCATCACTCCATTTCTGTAAATAAATCTACCAGTCTCAGATTTGGGAATTTCAAAGAAACTTACTTTATAGAATTCTCAAACTAGTTTTGAACAAAATGTATATCCTTTTTCTCTATGCATGGATTCTGGCAAAAATCCAGGAACACTTGAATGTTTTAATGGTGACATGTACTGGTTCCAAAACCACTTTGCATCCCATCCTCTTGTCAAAGTTGTGATCAATTGAAACGATGAAACACTCTCCCTCAAGTAAAATTAGTGCAAATAAAAAGATTTTGTGGTGGCATCCTTTAACTTCAATGCTATTAAGTTAGTCATTTCATAAGTTAGTCATTTCTGAGAACCCTTTTGTTTCTCTAATGTTCTTCAGATCCACAAATTTATCCAGGAATTATAATTTCAACAAACAACCACACTACAATTTACACAAATCCAATCAAGGATTCAATATCGTAATATTTTGGATTTCAATCGAGATGGATAGAACATTTATGGGTTCTACTTATTTACATGGCCTACCAAGCAAGAGATCTATAGAAACAATAAAACAGGAGGGGGAAGAGAGTAGGTTCGGCTGTTGAGGAGAGAAGATTTAGTTTTAATATTTATAAGTTTCCTTACAATACCCTTAAAAATTTGCAAAATAAAGGACAACCTAAGTCCAACTAAAAACAAGCATGATGCTAACCTGCCCACTCTTAAATATATTTCCCATCAGAATTTTTGAAAAATTAAAACCGCCAAGAAAGGCCTTAATCAGTGAGTATAAACAGTTCCAATAACCATAAACATGAAATAGACAGGTTAAACGTGCCTATTCCCTACATAAATTTGCTTTTACCATAATAGCATAGGATACTAGCACACTTTCAATTAATTCCTCACAGCAAGATACAAACACCTTATAACTTATAACAACAATAACATACAAAAAGAATATACAACACAAAAATAGTACCCATAGACAGCATAATTTCCTTAATCACATCCAAACCTACATAATTAGCATAAACAATACACAATGCTTGTACACGAAGAACAATAAAACCATTCAAATTCGCAGTCAAAACAAGACAGTGCCAAAAGCAACATAAGTACTGAAACATAATCCAAAACTGCAACTATAAACAAAAACACAATTCATTAGTTTGTTTCCAAAACAATCCAAGCACCTTCTCCCAAAATAAACTTGCACATCAATCCCACGCAAAACTATCAAACTTACAACATTACACATTCAGAGTCAATCTTATAGCAGAACTAACACACAAAACACATAGACAAAAGCACGAATAGCACCACCAATATCATAAGTATCGGAACTCGGACATAAAATAAAACAAAGAAGCTCATAGATTCATTACTTTGTGTCGGAACCAACAATGGCAGTAGGCCCCCCGCCCTCTTCGGATGCAGCAGCAGCTTCCAAAGTCTTCCTAGCTTCCTCAAGCTTCTCTTCAATCTCAGCATCAGTATACCCTTGTTCAATCAGCTTGTCTTCAAGCACAACAAGCTTAAGCTGAATTTGTCGCTTGCGATCATGCTCAAGAATTTCCTTATTAGGTTTCTTGGTAATCCCGGCAGTCCCCTGATCTCCCTCAAAACCCTTAATATTATGTGCTACCTTGCCGGTTTTAGACTTTATGAAAAACTTGTTTGTTTGGATATAACCGTTTGTACCTGACCCCCTCGGGGTCTGTAACCCGATTCCGTTATACATCTGTTGAAAATCAGTAATTATATCAAAATCAGGTATTATTTGTGCGAAATCAGAGACCTAATTAACCAAAAAAAATGATGAATCTGATCGATTTTGCGATAAATTGAACTAAACCAAACCAAACCCTAGATTGAAAATTTTTGTGGTTTGATTGGATAACAATGAATATAATCGAATGGAAATTAGGGATTTAAAGAAAGAATTCTTACCTGGAGAAGTAATAAGATGACCGCAAATGGTGTCTGTTCAAATTCTTTGTAATGGAGAAGATTGAAACAAACAGGACATCAAAGAAGGGCTGCTGGCTTTGTAACAACACCGCACTTCTTTTGGCCTTTTCCCTAGGAAATGACACGGTTGCCCTTGGTTTATAGCGACATGTCATACGCATACAGAAATTTAAATGACAAGTCGTTTGAAATCATCTTCCAAATTCCAACCGAAGATTAGATAACAATGGCCTCCATGAAATACTTCCAACCATCTCAAGCCATTCAAACAGCTAAATCCTGCCATATTAATCACCAAAAACGATCACTTTCCAATCACCACACTAAGTCACGAGTCAAAACGGATTATCACCATGAAAAAATTATAAAAAAAATCAAGAAAAAGCAGATCACTATCCGACCAAATCGCAAACAACACAATCTGTTTAAAATCATTCCTTTTGTCTTTCAAAAAATATCTTACAAATGCACTCAAATCCCATCCCACTCCAAAGCACTTTACAACTCAAACTTTGATATAAAAACATTTTTGAAGTCTAGTTTTGCTTTTGGATCCAATGAAGGCAGTGGTAGACTTGGAGTGGTGCTATAACATAGACGAAATGGCTTACCAGCACGTAGTTTAGGTTTGGGAATCTCTTTTTTATTCTTTCAATCTCGTCAAATCAACTGGGTCTTAGGGCCAATAAATACGACGAGTCAGGAGAGAGAGGAAAATATAGATTCACCAGCGATTATGTCACTTCCGAAGAGAACAAAAAATTAGAGCGCTGTTGTAAAAATTGGAAAGAATTTGACTGAAGAGGTTGGTTTGAGTGTTAAAAAAGCTAATTACTATTTAAGTGATTTTATGTCTTGTGTATCTTACTAGACAGTAAATGATTAGTCAATTTTTTGTTCTGAAATATCTTAAGAATCTGAAAAATAAAATTAGAAAGAGTTTGAAGTTGTTATTTAGGTTATGAGTTATTCGGGTTTCCAGGTTATTTTGATAGGGTGGGATTCGGATAATTTCGGATTTACCGTCCAAATATTTAACAAGTTTGGATTTTTTTTTTTTTTTGTAGAAAGGTGGGTGCTGATGAATTGGGCCGGGTTTACACAACCTCTGTCCCCTTATTAAGTGGATCGAGTTTTATAGAGTTTTTTTCAACGGGTTCCTTTTATGAATCGATACGTCTTTCAAGATAAGACCATCAAAACGATAACCTCACAAACAACATTGCAATATCAAAAATATTTTTCAAACTCAAATCTAAAACAAAACAAAAAAAAAAAAAACAAAATTGGATTTTAATTTTAAAATTTTAATTTTTCAGCCTTAAAACACTCACCATATGTTTCTGTGCTTGTGCTTCTCATTCTCCCATTAATTTTTTTTTTAGAAAAAAAAATTGTGCCGTACAACACCATTTATTATCTGCTTTAATTTTGAGGTTCTTTGCAATCTATAATGTTCAAGAATAATTTTATTGGATTACGAGCAGCAAAGGCTCTATATCATTTTTTTTAGTTTTCTAAACAAGATGTAAATTTATTCAAGATGCAAGATTTTTTATATTATAACAATATATAAAAAATGCCTCGATAAAAATAAATATAATAGACGTACAATATGCACAAACAAAACCAAAGAAATTATTTGTTGGATAATACCAAGATTCCAACCATATTTATAGAAAAAAAATGACAAAGAAAGAAAGGACGTACTGTTTACTTTGTCACCCAACCGCTATAGTCCAATCCTTTCTGTGTTACAGTCCATCACTATAGCTGAAAAAATTTACCATTTCTTAATTTTAGAACTCTATATAGAATTTAGAGGGTTTTGTTTCTAAAACACCTTTAGAATCATATTCTCTAAGTTTTGGAAAAGTTAGTCAATCTTAGGTTGTGTTTGTTTGGGGGAACTTGTTTTCCTCATTTTCCAATGTTTGTTTCACATTCGGGAAAAAGTCTATGGAAAATGATTTTCAGCCAATGAAAAATGATAGAGTAATTTTGAAAAAATGTTTTATCAATTTCAAAAGAGGAAAACATTTTTCTTCTTACGACTTGTCTCGCTCTCTCGTTACATAACTCTCTCTCGATATATTTTAACAATTTTTTTTCTCTATCTTATTTTTATTTAAAATATATCATATTAATTTTTAATTATTTCTTATTAATTATTATTAATTATTTTTTCTCTATCTTTACTAATATTTGATTTTTTGATTTATAGATACATTAAATATTCTTAAAAACCATTTTTACACCTTAAAATTATTTTTATAATAAATATTTCAATAACTTATCTCTTTTTTCTACTATTGTCTCAATCACTACCTAAGCTATAGTTAAATGATTGAAAATGATTATTACAAGACTATAATTTTTTGTAAAAAGAAATTAAAATTAATTAATTAATTCATCAATAAATACATTATTTTTTCAACACTATTCATTTGCAATTAAATCAATAATTTATAATTTTAATCAATTGTAAAATTTTGTTGGTAATTGTAATGAATAATTAGTTACAAATTATTCCAACATTAATCTTTTGAGATCAAATAAATAATTATCTATAGATGATAGCAAATAATTTATCAAATTATTTTTTAGACTAAATTATTAGTTCAATTTCTTAAAAAAAAATTCTTAATTGAGTTACTAAAATAATAATGCTAAGATTACTTAGAATCTTTTTTAACCAAATATGAATATTGACTTAATTTTGTTTCAAGTAATTTTGATGATTTGGTTTGATTGTTAAAAATATATATTTTATTTTTTGAATTAAAATTTTAGAGTTATTATTGATGAAAATTTATTAAATTTTTCTAAATTATTTTATGTTATGAAATTATGAATGTCTTTTAAAAATTTTCACAAAACTTGTTGATATAACAATGACATGAGTTTTTGTATTTTAATTTTCCGTATCAAACAAACGTTGAAATATATTTTCCGAGTAACTTTTTCATATAATTACCAAACAGCAAAAAATATTTTCTTGGAAAATAATTTTCAAAAAAATAACTTCCTCGGGAATTGGTTTTCTTATAAAACTTGTTTTCCCCCAAACAAACGAAGCCTTATGGTGAAATATAAAACATACTTTGAAAAATTACGTCTCTTTTTAAATGCGTAAAACATTTTACGAGTCATGCATGCTAACATTCAATTAGGACTCACATCAATAAACAAGTTAAAAAACACTTTGGCCATCTGCATAAATAATAATAATAATAATAGATGTACCTTCCTATTTTCCCAAAAAGTTTTTTATTGCTCATTTTTTACATTCATTTTCGCATACATATCAAACACCAACAAATGATTTTTAATTAAAATAATCAAATGTTGAAAATTAACTCATTTTTTAGAAAAATATTTTTCCCTTTTTCAATAGGTAAATTACTTTCTAGAAAAAAAAAATTGAATTCAAGTATTAAGAAAAATTGAATTAAAAGGTTAGATCAAATTAGTAGTAGAGTTAGGGATCAACATGAAATATTTAAAAGCATTTGAGGACCAAATCGTAAAAAGAAAGATTTGAAAAGACATCGTTTGAACCATTTCGATGGGAACACACGGGTGAGAAGGCAAGCGGATCTCCACATCCAGTTTTGGCTCCTACTTCTCAACCGCATGTTTTGTCTGGAGGGTGATATTTTGCTGGTTTTTAGATAAAAAATCATGCCTTTTGAAGGATTCATTGAAATTTCTAGAAAAATAACTAGGGTTAATTCTCACATATTCTTATATAGTAGAATAATTTTTAATTTTTTTTAAATTAAAAAATATACATGTTGTTTTAGTTGGTTTTTAATATATTATTCGGTCAATTTTTTCGATTAAACCATTCAAAAATATCTCTATTGCATCCATATTATTATGATATGCAGGTGACTTTGTTTTTTTTTTTTTAACAAAAATGCTCTTGTAGCTTAATGTGTTAAGTTTTTAACCTGTTCTTATATAATTAATTGAGTTTTCAATCTATTTTTAATGCTAAGAAATCCATTATATTATTGTTATTAATTTTTCTAATAATGTGTTACAATATACTAAATTTTTTAATTAAAAATATATAATAATAATTAGTATAAGTTAAGTATCTAACTATTCAAGAAATTAAAAAAATAAATAATTATATTTAAGTAATTGTTAATTAGTCTCTCAAGCATCTAATTAAAAAACAAATAATTATATATTTTCTTTAATTACATAATTATTTATTTTTACCATGTCATTCACATGTTTTCTTTTATAAAAATAATTTAATATATTGATAAATATTATATCAACTTGGTCAATATTATACATAAGTGAATTATTATAATGAGAATAATATAATGGATTTTTTAATATTAAAAATATGTTAAATAACGAGTTTCTTGAACAGTGACATAATAACTTGTACTAATTATTTTTATATATTAACATAATAATTTTTACTAATAATTTTAATATATTTTTAATTAACAAAAAATTACAACACGCAATTTGAAATAATAATAATAATAATATAACGAACTCCTTAATAAATTAGAAATTCAACCTACTATGTGAAGGCATATTCGAAGCTAATTATGTTCGGCTGCAAATGACATTTTTGTCAAAGAAAAAATCTCATGTAGATCACATGACATTTTAAGGTGACTTGATTAGAAAAATTGATCGAAAGAATATATTGAAAACCAGTTTAAATAATAAAAACATAATAATAGTGTTTTTAGATTTAAGAATATATTTGAAATTTAGCCTATTATATAAGATCAT